AAGGCTGTGAAAGAGATTCCTCTCATCTGGTGAACTTTGAACCTAACAATTATGTCTCCAAAATCGCCAGAGGTTAATCTCTAACTTTTTCTAGACATAAATGCGCACGCGCATTGGTGAACTGACAGTGCAGATTTTCACATGGAATTTAACGCGAGTTAATTTTTTTTTTCTTTCTTTTACTTAAGACTCGATGCTATTAATGCTATTAATGCTATTAATTCTAAGCTTTTTTTTTTAAATAATTTTTTTTAAATGTGTTACTGTGAACTTTTTTTATTGTAAGTGTGACGTCGTGCTTATTATTTTTTCCCCCCTTAGTGTATTTAGCCATAGACGTATGAACAGTTTGAAATTTAAATCAAACTTTTTCACTTGAGAATTTAGGACTTTCAGCACATTTGGCCTCCTTCAAATTTGGGTGGATCTTGGTCTATAACATTTCATGTGATAGTGGCAGAGATCAAATCGATACATTCATTAAATCCCTAGACGTGTACTTAAACAGTGCTTTTTTTGGTCATATATCATAAAATGAATAAAACAGAGTAGGGTTAAACCTGAAAAAAGAAACGTAACAAAACAACGAACGTGTCGGCAAAAAGCCTTCGCCTGCGAAAAAAAAAATTTCTTTTGAGGCCCACGGATACTTCTTCCAACCTAAGAGCCATTTCTTAATTTTTACTTTTATACCGTTTCTTTCTGTTGTCTCGTTCGCCGACGAAGGCTTTCTGTCGACACGTTCGTTATTTTGTTACGTTTCTTTTTTCAGGTTTTTACCCTACTCTGTTGTAATCATTTTATATTGTGCTAACCTGATTGCAGTCTCTCCCATTATTTCCCTTTGTCTTATATTTTATCGTGTGACGTTTCAGCTTCCTCCTCTCACGATAAAATTCGACATTTTCCTCAGATTTTGACTGGATCCAAGAACCCGCCCGTCGACTTCAATTTGGTGGGTAGAGTATCTGAAGCTTTTTAAAAATGTCGCGTATGTATAGGACACAAATGACACGTTGGTTACAAATGTCAGAATTAAAATAAAGTGATAAAAAAGTGTTAAGAAAATACCAATGTTGAAGGGTTAAGAAAGAAACTGTGTGTGAAGGGTTAAACTAAAATAAATATGATTGAAGGGTTAAATTAAAATAACAGTGATAGAAGGATTAAACTAAAAAAAAAAAAATGTTATAGAATAGTTAAGTTAAAATAAGAGTGAGAAAATGTGTTAAAGGGTTAAGAAAATAATAGTGGTTGAAGGGTTAAATTAAAATAACAGTGATTGAAGGGTTAATTAAAATAACTGTGACTGTAGGATTAAATAAAAAAAAACTATTAAAAAACAGTGACTGAAGGGTTATGAAAATAATAGTAATTGAAGGGTTAAAAAATAATAGTAATTGAAGGGTTATGAAAATAATAGTGATCGAAGGGTTAAAAAATAATAGTGATTGAAGGGTTAAAGTAAAAGTAACGCAAATTGAGGGGTAAAAAAAAATAACAGTGATATTTAAGAGTTAACAATGGCATTAAAATGCAATGTGATTGAAGTTTCATAATTAAAAAGCATGAGATTGATAGTGTTAATTTTTCTTCCTTGCAGGTCAGTCGTGGCTAGTTCCTGGCCCAAATGAGAATTTAAACGGTAAGCTAATTAATTAATACTAGAGACAGTTTGTCATCATGGAGTCCAGTTTAGACTATATTAAATATTATTACAGTCAATGTTATAATTTGTCGTGGAGACATTTTTTTAAAGCTGAACGCCAATTTTTGTGAGTTGATGTTGGCTTCTGGGAAAGGGGATTAATGGGTTGGGTATTGAGACTTTGTTTGATCATCAAAGCAGGGGCGTCAATTCAGGGTTTTTCGAGGGGTGGGGGGGGGGGGGGGAAAAAAAGAAAAC